CATGCCGCGTGGTTCCATAAGCCACATGCAACACACCGGTACCATAGTTCGCTTTTTCCATGTTCTCCACATATGCCACATAATTCAGTCCGCACGTCAGGTTCTGCATCAAATGGAACATAGTTGGGGTTGATATCGTCTACTTCATCATCGTCACAAATGTCACTATCGTCTATGTCAGATACCTCTGATGATTCAGGCGTTGCTGGTTTCTTATTTCTCCCTCTTTTAATTTCCGGAGACTGACATATGCGTTTTTTTACTTTTTTTGCAACATTCTCTTTTGCCGTTATTTTTCTTGTAGTGGTTCCGTAGAAGGAGTGAGGTGGGATCGAGAAATAAGCATTCTCGATTTCATCTTCCTCGTCACGTTCTTGTGCATCAAGTTCAGGTGTTGGAGCCCTCTTCATTTTCTTATTATCTTTCTTAATATTGTTCTTTCCTAATGTTTTGACACTTTTTAATTTCATGTTTTTTTTCACGTCTTTTTCCCTTTTCTTTGCTTGAGCTTGTTCTAATCGTTCTTTTAGGGGTGTGCTAGTCAATATTTCAGAGTGTTGTTTCGAACGAGACACTGTTTTTACTCTTCCTTTTTCTTTTCTCCTTGGAATAGGTGCAAATTGGAAGAATGAATTATTTAATGTAGATGTCGATGGTAGATGGTTGTGTCCAGACTTAGATGTAGATGGTAGATGATCTTGTTCAGCGGTAGATGTACATGGTAGATGACCTTGAATAGGTAGATCCTGCTGCTGTTGTTTTGGCATATGAGCTGTCTGTCTATCTTCACCGTCTGAATTTTCACTAGGTTCGGGTGTTGCCGGATTAGGAATTTTTTGTAGATTTGGCTGAGATGCAAGTGTTAATAAATTAGCGCTACGTTCGGGAGAACCTTCTACTACAAACTGTCTCATTTCGTTGGCCGGAGCGAAATCATCTTCGTTGAATTTGTTAGGGTCAAATGGCCTTATTCCAGCAGAACGAAATCCCGAAACTGCTTTCTCCATCGATGCGACTTTTACGAACGCTTTATTTAACAGCTCAGCTACGTCATATTCAGTGATCTTTTCATGGCCTGTTGTAGTTAAATAAATATCATACTCCCTGTATAGCGCATTTTTTAAAGGACCAAAGAAGGATAGGTCAAGGGGTTGAAGGTGATGGGAAGTATGTGGCGGAAGGGACACCATATGAATATGATTTGACTTACAGAAATCGTATGCCTCTATGGATATATGGCTTGAATGGTTGTCAAGGATAAGGAGAATCGGGTCATTTAAAGTGGGATTTGCCTGTTTTTCGAAGTGCATTAACCAATCAAGAAAAAGTTCAGAATTCATCCATCCATTTTTTGAACATTTATAGTTAGCACCAGTTGGCCCATTTTTCTGCAGCGCAGGAGCCATTCTCTTTCTGGGATATATCAGCATGGGCGCGATATAATTTCCTGTGGCACTCATGCAAAATACGGCTGTAATGGTCCTCCCTCTTTCACCTGAAATAGCAGCTCCTACTTTTTTTACACCCTTACGTCCATAAACCTTCGGGCACTTCTTCTGTACAGTGGTTACACCCGTCTCGTCCATATTATATATCCTGTTTGCTTCAAATTTAAATTTTTGTAAAACTTTCTCGAGATTTGAATAAAAAAGTTTTAACTCGTCCGCATTAAATGCAGCAATTCGATTAAGACTAGTCCCCTCAGGCTGTCTCAATGATATTTCAGGATTTCGCTTGAGAAACCCATACAACCAATCTTTGCCTGCTAACTGAGTTTGTTTATTGAAATTATTTGGAATATTTTTCTGTTGAGCATAATTAAACGCTAACTGCCTCAGTTGTCGGGGCGTTACGCCGTAAAACAATTTTGCGAGTGTCAGAATATAGTGGGTTAATTCAGCTTCCACTTCTGCTGTAAAAATCGCCTTTCTACCGAGATGGGGGATTTTTAGTTGATTTAGAGAAAGCTTTTTTCTGAGTGTTGATTCAGGAATACCAAAAGACCTCCCAACTTCTCGTATTTTCCTCCCATCGTTTCTAATTGCATTCAGTGCAGTCTCCAGCAATTCATCACTATATTGATGGATTTCAGTCTTTCGAACGTAATTTCGTGGCATCTGAAAATAAAAGACGGATTTTAGTACCCAAAAACGATAACAATATTGCTTCATATTTAATTGATTAGTGGGTAACCGTGCGCATTTTCGCGCACGGTTACCCCACTATGGTTTAAAAACGTAATTACATCATCCTACAAAAATTACTTATCTAAATGCAACCAAATGGTGTGCATATATGCAGCAGATGATATTCTTTAAGAATATAATTATTTCAAAACAAGTAGTTAAGATTTACGGACTCACCGTCTTAATTTGTGCAAGTGGAAAATAGTAACAAAAACCTCAAATGCACACTTTCGCCTTTCACTAAGTACACAACTCAACTGCAGTGGCAGTTAATGGCTTCAGAGACTCTGTGCATGTTCCCGCTTAAGCCTGTTCGGGAGGGGACTCTCAGTATGCCGCGTAATTTGAATTTTAATGGTGCGCACCGTTCCCCACCGCGCACGGTTCCCCCACTTTCCCCTATCGGTTAGCGTACAAGCACTTCCAAGAGTGGTGCGATACAAGAGGAGTACGGCAAGTTACCGAAGACGTTTTACTGGCATATTTTAATATAATGGAAAATGAAAATAAATGGAAATCTTCTACAATGTGGTCACGATACTCTATGATAAAATCCGAGTTAGTTATTAGAAAAAATGTGGATATAAGCAAATTTTTAAAGTTACGTGCCTTTCTGAAAAAAACAAGCGAAGGATATACTGCAAAGAAGTCTAAAGTTTTCACTAAAGACGAGTTTGATAAATTTTTGTTTGAAGCGCCAGATAAGTTGTATTTAGGATTAAAGGTAAAAAAATTATATTGCAAAGCATGTAGTATACTCTACTAAATTATAAAAATATTTCAGATTGTTTTGTTAATTGGGGTTACCGGCGCCTGTCGATGCGACGAAATGGTAAAAATGAAGACTGTGGACATTGAGGATAAAGAAAATGTAATAATTATCAAAATCCCAGACAGTAAAACACGACAAATTAGATATTTTACGATAATTGGTCAAAACTACATTAAACTGTATAAAAAGTATGCATCACTGCGGCCTGAAAATTTCACAGAAAACCGATTTTTTATCAAGTACCAAAATGGAAAGTGTTACCGAAGCGTCATGGGAATACATTCGATCAGCGCAGTAGCCCAAAAAGTAGCTAGTTATTTAAATTTAAACGATGCAAGCGCATACATGGGTCACTCTTTACGACGAACTTCAGCAACACTTTTAATTGATGGAGGCGGAAATCTAGAATGCCTCAAACGACATGGGGCTGGAAATCAAGCACGGTTGCCGAAGGATATATAGAGGATTCAATAAGAAATAAGAACGATAATGCTCAAAAAATTTTAAACCCTCATGATTCGCCAACATCGGGAATGATTGCTGAAAGTTGTTCTCGACCATCAGTATCATCAACAATTACCAATGCGTATCAAGAGTCGGGAACATTTTTGCACGGTTTCAATTTTGAAAATGCCTCATTAACTAATTGTACTTTTAATATTACTATAAATAAAAATGATGTTTAATTGTTGTTAATGACATTTGTATTGTTGCTTTGTGACATGTTTCATATTGTTGCCATGACAACATTTTTCCCTCCGCCGTAAAGAAATGGGAAAAAAAACTGCTGCCGGCGGAGACATCAAACTTTGACAGGATCAAGTTAGATAAGTAATGTCATCATTATTTGACGTTTGAAGAAAAAAGTTTTTTTCTGGCCTGAACATTTAGCTATTTAGCCAATTATGTGTTGAAAAATAATAAGTGAAAAATACTAATATTAATATTCTAATATAATTAATACTAAAGAAAATAAAAAAGTGTATATCTATACTAATAATTGCTAGTGCAAAAAGTGTATCTCTTTTATCTAAGTCAAAAAAATCTCATAAAATCCCTATAACTGAACCAAACAAAAAGAGAAAAAGATAGCAACAAAAAACAGATATCAGGAAAAACAGGGATACTCACTTCTCATCCAGGGACCAATCAGGACATTTGTTTAAGACATTACTAGCAATAGGCCACGGAAAGAAAGGTAAATAACAATTAGGTTAAAACAAAGGTTAACGAGCTTAGCTAGATTGACTACAGACACATATTTGCACTATGTATAAATTTAATCAGACAATCCTATACTTTTTTATTATTAGTAGCCAATAGGTTATTTATTTGGTATGAAGGAAATATTTGCAGAGTTTGCAAAGTTGTTTAAAAGAGTTCCTGAATGCTGAAAATATTTGGAACGTAAAGAACGTTAAAGAACTTAAGTCCGTCACTTAATTTTCAGTACTGGGCCGACTGGCAAAAAAATGTCTTTGCTTTCCGCACGATTAGCTGCCTCATTTTCAAGAAATGCCCCTAAAAATGTATCACAGATCGCGGGAGCTGCCTTTCCTGCTGTATCCGTTGCAGCCCGCAACTTCCATGCTACTCCATAAAACAAAGATGCTGAAATTTCATCCATTCTTGAAGAGCGCATTCTTGGTGCTGCTCCAAAAGCCAACTTCGATGAAACAGGACGAGTCTTAAGTATTGGTGACAGTATCGCCCGTGTATATGGTGAACAATATCCAAGTCGATAGATGGTGGAATTCTCCTCTGGTCTCAAAGGTATGGCCCTTAACTTGGAACCTGACAACGTTAATATTGTAATATTTGGTATTGACAAACTCATTAAGGAAGTTGACATTGTCAGGAGAACTGGTGCTATTCTAGATGTTCCTGTTGGTGACCAAATTTTGGGATGTGTAGTTGATGCCTTAGGTAACCCAATTTAGGGCAAAGGACCATTGAATACCAAACAACGTGTCCGTGTAGGTATCAAGGCCCCGGCATCATTTCACATATTTCTATGCAGTCTGGAAGGGAATCTATGCAGTCTGGAATCAAGGCTGTAGAGTCGCTTGTACAAATTGATCGTGGTCGGCGTGAGTTCATCATTGGTGATCGTCAAACTGGTAAAACTGCTTTAGCTAATGATACAATCATCAACGAAAAACGATTCACCGATGCTGAAGACAAATAGAAGAAATTGTACTGCATTTACGTCGAAATTTGTCAAAAGAGTACCGTGGCTCACATCTTAAAGCGTCTTACAGACACTGGTGCAATCTACTACACAATCATTGTATCAGCTACTGCATCTAATGCTGCACCATTGCAATACCTCAGCTCATACTCCGGATGTACTATGGGTGAATATTTCAGAGATAATGCCCTCATCATTCATTATGATTTATCCAAAAAAGCCGTAGCCTACCGTCAGATTTCTCTGTTGCTTCGTCGTCCTCCAGGTCGTGAAGCCTACCCTGGTGATGTATTCTACCTTTATTCTCGTCTTTTGGAACGTGCTTCTAAGATGTCTGAAGCCGACGGTGGTGGTTCATTGACTGCTTTGCCGTAATTGAAACCCAAGCTGGTGATGTATCAGCCTACATTCCAATCAATGTCACTTCTATCGCTAATGGACAAATCTTCTTGGAAACTGGATTGTTTTACTTAAAGAAAATGTGGTCAAGATTTTCTTGTTTTTGACAAGCTTCGCATAAGTCTGAATTGTATATTTTGATTTGTGCAAGATGAGCAGGATAAGCGTGGCCAATCTCAATCTTAATAAAGTTGTATATTTACGGGCGGTATTGAAATTCTTAAATCGTCTGGAATTAGGGATGTGTGGTTATATATACACGTATTGTGTTGTTGAGTGGTCGCAAAAAGTTTGCGAGGAAGTATTCCAATGATCTGTTTAATTTCTTTTAGAGATGAAAAAGCGTCAGGAACACAAATTCTCTTATCTGGTAATATTTTAGCTGGAGAGATTATTGCATCTTTAAGAATGGAATCAACAAGCTCATTATGTTTTATACTAACATGAGCTTTTACCCAAATAAAATTCGTAGTTTTATTTTTATTTTTACGATTGACAAGCATGTTCTTAATTTGTTAAATGAAAGTATTAGAATTGTAATTGGGTAATTTTGTATTTTTAAGAGATATTCTGCATTAACTACATATATATAATGTCGATTTACAACGTTCTTCGACGTCTTTCGATTTCCAATCTCAATCTCCTTCTATCGTTCCATAGATCGTCCTCCAGTTTCCTTTCCCTGATTTCTTTATCAACTCCTTCTCTCCAACTTCTTCTAGACCTACTTCTTGGTTGCCATTCAAGAATTTGTCTTGGTATTCTATTCTCCGGCAGTCTCCTTACGTGTCCTTACCATCTGAGTTGTGTCGTTTTGATGTCATCAACAATATTGTGTGTAACCCCCATGATTTCCCGGAGTCTCTAGTTTGTTATTCTGTCGCGTCTAGAGATTCCCGGCGAGCGGTGCCAGAAGTCCATTTCTGTTGCTCTAAGCAGTTTTTCTGTTCTGTCTTTTAGGGGCCACACTTCGCATCCATATTGTGATACTTTTTATTATGGTGTTGCATATTCTTTTTTATTTTCCTTAGAGATGTTTTTATTCCACAGTAAGCTGTTCACTAAGGCTGTGCCTTTTCTCCAAGTGTATTTCGTTCCTTAATCGCTCCATCTAATTTTCCGTCCTGAGTGATCTTTACTCCTAGGTATTTGTAGTCTACACATAATTTGATCTCTTGATTTTCCTCTACGAGAAGGTTATGTTGATCTTCTCCGATACTCATGTACTCAGTTTTTTCAATATTCACTTCCAAACTCTGTAAACTCTTCTATTAGTTTTCATGTAACTAAGATCTTCAGAATCCTGTGCAATGATGATCTGGTCATCCGCAAAGCACAGAGTGTACAAAGTTAAGTCCATTAGTGGTATGCCCACATTCGTACATTTTTTTTCATTTGTTAAGTGCTGCTTCGAGGTATATTTTGAATAATGTTGGGGATATACAGCATTCTTGTCTTAGTCCTTTAGTCACTTTGAATCCCGGTGTTATCAGATTTTCTGTTTTAATTCTTGTTGTTTTTGGTAGTACAACGTTTTTTACCGCTTCAATCAATTCTATATTTATATTTGTTTTCCCCAGCGCATGCCATAATTTATCAAGCTGGACACTACCATATGCTTTTCTAAGGTTTACGAACGTCAGTGCAACTTGGCCGCAAGCAACTTTCTTTTAAATTATCTGAGTAATAGAGAAGACATGGTCTATTGTAGATCGACCTGCATGAAAACCAGCCTGTTCTTCGGCTTCCATATCTTGATATTCTTCTTCTATTAGCTACATTTCCTGGGCCAGGTGATTAAAACTGCATTATTGTTTAAACTGTCGAAATATATCAAGGCTTCAAGAATTGCAATTGCTTCAGTATTATATAAAAGTTGACGTATCTTATTTTAACTATAATGATAATCAAATAAATTAATAGACTACTCAAAAAAATGATTAATAATCATAAATCGTTAACCTCTGAAAAAATGTATAACCCTTTTCTCCAGTGTAACACCCCGTCAGTGGTTGATCTCGAATCCAATGTCTATATGTTGCACTCTGTGTGCAAGAGAGTGAGTGCAATGCCTATTAGAAAGCGCAAAGGTCAAGGATTGAGATTTGCATTCGACTTAAATTAGTGCTGTTTTGTACTGAAACTACGATCTAATCGGATAGATTTAGTAAGGAGTTGCCATTGCTATCCGGATAAATGTATTGTACCATGAAACGGCGAATAATTATGAGATTAATGAAAGGATTTATTGAACCCAAGCAAAAGAAATGTGGTAAATTGGAAACATATCTGTTCAGGAGATTCATTATGTTAGTAACATTAACATTACCATGTACATCCTAGCTGTACATCGTATGATTTTGATTTTATTTATATAAATTTTATTTAACACTCCGATGCACGACCGCTTTTAGAATTACATGAATACACGACCAAATATAGGACCAAAAGTTGTGAAATTTTTTTTCTAACCTTTCGTACATACAAATTAAAATTCTTTTTTTGTAATACCTATTGATGTATGTTTATACTATATGTCTTAAAAAATGTTAACTCTGCTTTTTTTGTATAGATATACGACGTCAAATAAAAACAATAATTTTTGGTAATCGTTTTATTGCTAATTTACAAAATTATAAAAAAATTTAAATGAACAACAAAAATTATGTTTTTGTATAAAGATTATGTGAAACAATTTACTTATAAACTCAAAACTAAATATTAACCCCCTGCTCAGAAACGATAATAACTTAAAATACGTTAATTATTTAGGTATGATTTCCTGGACATTCTGCGCAAGTTGCTGTCATATGCTCCATGCAGAGCAAATTTGCAAAAATAACGAGTTTTTCGTTTTTCGCAATACTTACAGTGACCTCTTTTATTTGGTGGTGGATCTAGTTGTTGTTGAATTGTCCGACTAGAATATTTACCTATTGCATTACGAATGTATGAATGTAACACTGATGTTGTTGCTCGAGAAGTTATATAATCCTTGACCAACTCTAATCCCAAAGCATTTACAAATAATCTTCTGGTTTTTTTAAAATCGATATCTAGATTATTTTGTCTAGTAATAATGAACGCATTAAGGCCAACTACATTAAGAATTCCATAAAAATTAACTAATAGAGGAACGCACTCGATGGATGGAGAGGCGGCATCTCCATTACAGGGAAAAAGATCTCAAACTTAAGATTCGCAGACGATACAACACTGATAGCAACATCTGAAGAGGAGATGTCGAGACTGATAAAGAGAGTAAAAACCGAAAGCAACAAGTGTGGGCTCAAGATTAATAATCAGAAAACAAAAATCATGATTGTGGACCACGCGAATATCCTCCAAACAACAGGCGCCCTAAATCAATTCGAGAAAGTAGACGAGTTCACGTATCTAGGATCTTCCTTAAGCAATGCAGCCTCCTGCCATACGGAAATTCGCAGAAGAATAGGAATGGCCAAGAACGCGATGAGTCGACTGTCAAAAATATGGAAGGACCGCTCTTTGTCCAAAAAACTCAAAATGAGACTGGTACGGACACTCGTTTTTTTAATCTTTAGTTACGGTGCCGAAACATGGACAATAAAATGAGAGGATAGGAAAAGGATTGACGCATTCGAAATGTGGTGCTGGAGACGAATGCTACGCGTCTCGTGGACGGAGCACAGATCCAATCAGTCGATTCTCGAAGAGCTAAACATTCAGACCAGACTCTCCTCTCAGTGTCTTGCAAATGTTTTAAAGTTTTATGGCCACATTGCGAGAAGAGACAATGACAACTTAGAAAGACTAATTGTGTGCGGAAACGTAGAAGGACGTAGAGGCCGAGGACGCTCACCTATCCGATGGTCAGATCAAGTACAGAAAGCCACTGGAGAGACGTTTTCCGAGTCCATGAGAGCAGCCCAAAATCGCAAGAGATGGAGAGAATTGACAGCCCGCATTGTAGGGAATCACTATCCTCAGCAATGAGGAAACGACAAGAGAGAGAGAGAACTAATGGCCAGCGCTTAGTATTTCTAGCAACATTGTATGATAAAATCATTTTATCAGCCATATCTACACCACATTTTGTATCATTGTAAAATAAAATAACTTCTGGTTTAGAGCATTCTTCAGTAACATTCTCAGTGTCATGTAAAGATAATATTATTAAAACGTTTTTTCCTTTTTTTTATACAATCGACACTACCATAAGTCTTTCTCCAAAACCAAATATAGAGGAGTCAACAGGATGACCTTTTATATTTGAAATGATTGTAGGAAGTTCTCTTTTACTACTTTTTATAGTACCTACAACGAGAAGATCGAGAAGCCTTCGAAAAGAAGAAGAAGTAACTAGTCTATGATCTGCTGAAAGGTTCTGGACCACTGAATAGCTAGTAAACCATCGGTCCATGGTAATATTTCTTCCTGACCCAAATAAATGTTGACACATTCTTAGAGTAACCGCTTTAGTGGAATTATGAACTTTGTAGGGACAATCAGGTTGCTCTCGTGCATAAATTTCCATGTGACTTATGTAAAATATTCGTGAATCTGTGGTTGCAAATACTTTTATACCATATTTTTTTGGCTTATTGGGAATATACATTCTGAAATTGCATTTTCCCCGAAAATTAAATAGCATTTCGTCTAGTGTTACGTATTCTCCTACACTATAGCAATTTTTGCAATTTTGAACAAACAGTTCAAATATCTCCCTTATTGGAGCTAATTTGTCCACTTCTTGGTATTTTAGTGTATTTTATACTTTGAATAATTAATGTTGTTAATTGTTCTGTCATCGATAATGACGCTGATAAATGATGATGCTATGAATGTGTAAAAATTGTTGTTGCCTGATCTCTAGTTACCGAGATTTCAACAGTCGAGCAAATTAAAGAGAGTGTCCCTCTGTACGAAAACATGGACTTTACAGAAAAATATGTAGAGAAAAAAGATGGTACTGGAAAAAAGAATTGTGTGAAAATCTCTGGTCAGGTATACTATGTTCGAAATGAGGTTGGACAAGAAGCTCGAGGTAAACTACCTAGAAGTGGCGTTGCACCAGAATG